TGGCACGTGGAACTAGAACAGTCTACCCCAGTGAGCGAAATAAAGGGTTCAGTTCGACATTCCAACCACCGGAAGAAGGCCGGAACGTAATAATAAAACGTTGTAATAAATATGGCGACAAAGATGAGGACAATAGTCCGAATAATGTAAATAGTGCTCATAATACCTCATCTCAGAAATATAGACAGATAATGATCGGCCGGAACGTTGTAATAAATATGGCAACAAAGATGAGGACAATAGTCCGAATAATGTAAATAGTGTATGCAATACCTCATGTCAGAAATATAGACAGATACTGTAGTGCATATATATCTATATATCTATCTATCTATATATATATATATATATATATATATATATGCACTACAGTATCTGTATATATATATATACACAAATATGTGTATATATATATATATACATATATATATATACAAATATGTTTCATTGAATAATATAGGCATATTGTATCTATTTTATCTTTATGCTAATCCTTTCCAGTTTCTTAATCAATTTCTTGCCGTTAAGATGAATTTCAAATAAGGAAGGCGACCGATTTCATTTCGATCAGGCAATCTTTCTCTTTTATCTAATCCAACTATCGACTGATGTTCGTACAATTAGTGATTTGGAGTCACTGTCTTTCTCTTTTAATGCATTGTCTGATCCTGTTTTTTGTAATCTGTATATGGGAGTCTAATATTTGTTTTCTATGTTTAAGAATATATTAATAACGTAGATGGCGTTACTGTTTATATGACCCCGGCTGGCAGGAGAAAGAGGAAACAACACGCGTTCGGGTGTAGAAAATGGTTTCTATTGAAGGAAGCTCAAAAGAACGACTGGCGAGAAGACAGACAATAAACGGATTGACTTTGATGACAGCATCAGGGAGAAATTGTCTTCCACACCAAAGCCAATGAAATCGCATCCAATATTATCTGCCATACAGTTTCCAATAAAAACAAGACGTTTTGGTTAGTTATGGCTGATTACTTAACCTTTTCGACTAATTAAATCTTAGATTAAAAACAATTTCGTCATCGGCACAATCCGACGATGATACTTTAGTTTTAAACTTTACTCGCATAATACCCATAAAAAATGAGCGTATTATTTACGTATGAATGTGCACTATACCCTAGAATTTGAGTATGCGTTCAAATGGTCACATCCCAGACTGTCAAGAACCAGCGTTATGTCTAAGCAATCCTTGAAAAGCGTATCATATACAGACACAAACTCACACACGCACACACGCATACATGATCTATCTATCTATCTATCTATCTCACTCTTCTCTCTCTCTCTCTCTCTCTCTCTCTCTCTCTCTATATATATATATATATATATATATATATATATATATATAGACGCGCCGTCGCCTCCCTCTGTCTGTTCTACAAATACTTTCATGGAAATTGCTCCGAGGAGCTGCATTCGCTGGTTCCCAGACGTCATGAGTTCAAGCGCCCTACGAGGCTGGCATCCCGCTCTCACCCTTTCACTGTCGGAACTCCTAAATGTAGTCGTCTCTTCTACTCCAATAGCTTCATGTCTGGCACCTCTCGCCTGTGGAAATCCCTTCCCTATTCCAGTTTCCCTGAGAGCTATAATCTCCAGCTATTCAAGTGTAATGTCAATCGACATATCCAGTTGCCTTGATCTATCCACTACCCTTCTCCACATCCTTTCCTCTATCACTCTTTTCTGATCTTGCTCAAAATTTTCTGTAACCCCTTGCGTCCTAGTGGCTTCCCGCCTTGCTTGGGGCGAAATGTTTAAAAAAATAGATAGATAGATAGGTGTGTGTGTGTGTTTTCTTATCATTTCACTCTAAGAAAGGCAATAAATCCACTAAGACGCAAGAGGTTACTGAGTGACCGAGAACATGAGAAAAAACTATTAAGGAATATAATAAAAGAAAAAATCATTAAGACAGATAACGATTTATATTTCCTTTAAAATTTTTAATATCAAAATTAACTGGGAAGCAAGAAGCCAGAATAGAGTTTCACAAACGAGAAGTGAAATAGAAGAAACATTTAACATAGAACTTACGGTTACATCTACCCATTTTAAGTATAAAATCATGTGACCTTGCCAGCAATCTCTTACTGTGCTTAAATTAATAAAAAGTCTAGGTACCATAGCGAAGAGGTCATATAAAAAAATTACCATGAAGGAAATTATAGAAAAAGTCAGAGTTAAGACGTCACGGCGGTGGAAAAGTAACTCTCCACTTCAGTAATTTCCCACCATCGAAATGTAACTTTCTTGTAAAAATACTTTCATGGTAATTGTTCGGATGATCTCTTCATTATTGTACCTAGACTTTATAAATTTAAACTCAGTGCTAGATTGGCAGATAGTTCTCATTTTATAGTTGAAATGGCTAGATGTAACCGTAAGTTCTATGCTGGCAGTTTCTTACCTTCTACCTCGTGAAAGTCGCTTTCGGCTTCTTCCTTTCCAGCCAACTTTGATCTGAAAAATTTTA